GCTGAAGATCTTGACTCGACGGGCGCCGCCGTCGACCAGCAATGGAGTTCCTGCTGCAACCAATACGCGGGTATGTCACAGAGCCCTTTCTCTCTGCCCGCGACGCCCGTCCCCCGCCGTCCCTAGCCCCCAGCTATCTTGTTTCTCTGGATTTAACATGCTTTAGCGCCTGTATCAGATCCACTTTCTTGGAAGAGGTTGGAGAAAGCTTGGTACCGCCGGCGCCGCCAGAGCTGGCCTCTGTGGCGGCGGAGCAGCATGTTGTAGATACGGTGGTCGAGCTTCCAGTTGTGCGGCAGGATACCTTGCCACCCGTGCAGTAGGCCGCCAGCGGCCATGCGCAGATTGTGGCAGGACCGGCGTCCGCCGAGGTTAGGTTGGAGAGCTCACCTCCGTCGTCAGAGTTGTCCACTGCGAAGATGAATCCGCGAGCCCCTGGGTGGAATAAGAGGTCAGTTGTGTGTGTTGGGCATGTTTAGCAGATAACTGACATACTGATAGTGATAGAACCATCAGATTACTATTAGTGCAGAACATCACATATTCTTGTGGTCTTGCTTATTTTTGGAGGAACTAGGTGGTCAGCATGTGTGCAGCAAATCTTGTACTTTAGATGTGAGGCAATGATCTAGTGTATTTGTACATACTAGATGATACACCCGCGCGTTGCTGCGGGAAATTTTGTCAATCTTTTGGAGGTGTATGTATAACAAAGAAAACATGCAATGATCGAATAAAGAAATAAAAGGCATGACACCAGGCGAGGCATTGCTTGGAAAAGCTTACACAATCATGTTCCATGATGAAGTTAAACTTTCATCAATTAAATGGCATAACTCAAATTTGACACATAGCAGATTGGGGGCTCGCAAAATATGGTTACCACATTATAGTTCAGATAACTCCATGCAGAAAATATGCAGCGGAAAAAGTTAAATCGTTTTGAGAGTTGCACAATGAAAATTAATGTACACACATACAATGGGGTAGGAAGTACAATATATTTAATGAAATTTAGTAATGAAAAGTTACGTAGTTGAGCAATTTCTGAAGTTTCTGTCACCGGGGATGCGTTCTGATATATGCAAATATCTGGTGTGACGAAGAGGCATGGTTAGTTGAAGCATTAAGTTAGTAGTCAAAGAACTTACCTGCAAGTATATAGCAGACAAAAAATAATTGAAAGCAACTTCGATGGAGATGAGATAAACAATCATTAATAGTAGTGCTCCCTTTCTTGAAACAAATTTAACTGTGTCCAAATATATATCGACTTATCTATCCATCTCTTGCTTGGAAAAAAACATTACATCGAATCCAAAAATTGCTTACCAGTATCACCAGCATGAACAAAGGAGGGATGCACTCACCCATCCATACAACACAGTTCCAAAACCACAAGGAATTTAGGGTATCGATGCATCACACTGTACAACAAATTAAGGCAGAGTTGAAAAAATGTATCCAGAGAGGAACCTAATGGCATATACATGTTGCCGGCATCATAGGCCCATGGTTTAAGGCAGTGCGAAAAAGCTGTACACAGAGAGGATTTCTGAATCTTTTCGGAAAAAAAAGAGAGGATTTCCGAATGGCATCTACATGTTGTCGGCATCATAGAGTAGACACCCATGGTGGTGGAGCCACCAGCCAGGCTTCTTCAAATGACGCATGGCAAAGGCTTGTTGAAAAAAAACAATCTGTGGCCTCCTCATACCCGAGTAGTTTCTCCATATTAGGTCGAGTATGGCCAGGAACTCGTCAGCTCATGGTCCAGCTTCATGCGATCTTGGCGTTGTTGTCAGTAGTGGTGGACTTATCGTGAGTTTCTCGTAGGACGGCCGCATGCATGTGCTGCTTCTGTATGACGATGATGTCGGACGACGAGGTGAGCGGGTAGGTGAGGACGCCCTGCTGCTCGCCGGCGAGGTGGACCTTGAGGTATTACTGCTATTGGTGCTGGTGTCCTCGATGGCTTAGGTAGACAGTGACGATGACTTTGAGGGAGGAAGTGAGGACACCACAATGGAGGTGGAGGAGGCAGGTACACACGCGTTGTCGCCCTAGGATCATGATAATCATCCACGCACGCATCATCATCGCCATGGATGTGAGAAAGAGGAGGAGCGAGCCTGATGTAGGATTAGCCTACGTGCGTGGGTGAACGAAAAGAGGGGCGATGGATTTATGGGGGATGAAGCCCAAGGGAGATGAGCCGAGGGGCCTCGCAGGGGAGGCGTGCGTTGATTACCCTCCATCAGGAAGGGTATTAGTGGGATTTGATGGAGATTAAAGAAGGCCAAGTGGGAGAGAAAATCAAAAGGCGTTTCCATAAAAAATTCTCAGGGAAAAAGAATGCTGCCGTGAAGACAGGAAGTGTTGCGATGCAGAGATTAAAGAAGGCCAGGTGGGAGAGAAAATCAAGAGGCGTTTCCACAAAAAGTTTTCAGGGAAGAAGAATGCTGCCGTGAAGACAGGAAGTGTTGCGATGCGGAGGAAAATCCTTTGGTAAGAAAAAGGATGATTGTCTAAAAAAAATCAGTAAGGATGATGAGGTAGTGGGGCCGTTGATGTGGATAGGCTGCATGTCAAAAGAATTGGTTTAGTGGGGATGAACTATTTAGGTATTATAGATTAGAACAGTCGTGAAAAATGAAAGCTAGGGTTTCATAGAATTATTTTCGGTTGGAACACCCATTGGACATATAATTGCATGAGTCTACAATTGTATGGAGTGTGACCTTGTTTTTGCATGCATCGTGTGTGAGAAAACATTATTTGCTGGGAAGATTACTGGATCCATTTGTATTGAAATGTGAAGTTGGCTTTATTTCGCAGGTTGAGGATTGGAGCTGCAGCACCGAGCAGGTCACCGTATCCAAACCGCATCAGTGCGTTCGAGAAGGCAGTAAGGAGGTTTGCTGAGAATCCAACGGAGAATGTTATCACGCCAGTTATCGGCACAACGTTCGACTCGGTGGATCAGGCATACGACTTCTACAATTTGTACTCCTGGGAGAAGGGATTTGGCATTCGTTATGGCAAAAGCAGGTTAAATGTGGAGAGGACCAAATGCATGCAGGAAATAGTTTGTGGTTGCTCGGTGAGTTAAAGGCTTTTTTTCTATTAGAACATGCAAATGAGAGTATTTTCCCTGTCTCTGCTAACATACTAACATGTGAAAACATTTTCACAGGGAAAAGCTGGGGTTGAGAACACGAGATCTTGTCACTGTGAGTGTCCTGCTCTAATTAGGCTGCTACGAGCGGAGGACAACGGATGGTATATAGCGAAGCATAGGGATACGCACAACCACTCGTTGTCGCCTAATTTTGGTGAGACAATCCACTGGCCATCTCACAAGCATATAGATGTGTACATCAGAGATCTTGTGAAGTAGTTGAGGCAGAACAATGTGAACTTGGCGAAGGTGTACAACATCATTGGAGGGTTTTTTGGATTGATGGAGAATGTTCCGTTCACAAAGAGGTCTTTGCGTAATTTGTGCGGGAAGATAAACAGGGACCATGCGGAAGATGACGTGAAGAAGACAATTGATGTGTTTGCTGAGATAGGAGCTAAAGATCCACACTTCACGTACAGGGTTCAATTTGACAACGAGGGGAGGATCAAGAATCTGATGTGGGCAAGCGGGAGCAGTAGACTGCAATACTCTTTTTTTTGGGGATGTGATCACGTTTGACATAACCTACCGGACTAACCTGTATGACATGCCTTTCGGATTGTTTGTTGGCGTGAACAACCATTTTCAGAGTGTGACCCTGGCAGGTGTGCTTGTGCGTGATGAAACTGAAGATAGTTTTGTATGGGTTTTCTCAGAATTCCTCCGAATGATGGGAGGTTCTCCACCTGTGACCATACTAACAGGTAATTTCGTCCTATAGGTTGTGAATACTGAACAGCTCACCGATTTCTCCTATGAGTTAGATACACATTTCATATTTTTGTGCTGATGGTGTTGTGCATTCACATGTGCAGATCAAAACCGGGCTATGGAGCTTGCGATCAAGAACGTTATGCCAAACATGACCCACCGATGGTGCAAGTGGCATATCCTGAAAAAGGCAAAAGATACACTCGGTAGTTTGTACACAAAGAAAAGTGAATTCAGGGCTGAATTTTATAAGGTGATAAATCACATGCTGACGGAAGATGAGTTTGAAAAAGGTTGGGAGATGTTGCTGGACAAGTACAAGCTGAGATCTCATCCGTACATGACAAACCTGTTTGAGATTCGTAAGAAATGGGTGAAACCTTAATTTAAGGGCGTTTTCTGTGCGAAGATGACTAGCACCCAGAGGAGTGAGAGTGCAAACCGTATGCTAAACGGACCAGATTTTGCACGATTTGTCGTAGGCAGGGTCACAAGCGAACAACTTGTCCAGAACGCGGAGATATCCCAAAGCAGCCTCGGAAGCCAGCTAGATGCAAGAACTGTGGTGTCGAAGGTCATCGACGAAACAATTTTCATAAAGCAATGGCAGTAGAACTAGCAGGAGGCATGTAAAAAGAATGATCAAAAAAGAATGCCAGGTTATGGAGTAGGTTATGAAATTTGAAAAATGCTAAGTCTGATGGAATGTTGTCTGTCCTGTGCTGTAAGTGGTTTGTAAGCGATGTCAGCAGATTCATCTGCCCTTGTTATGAACAAGGGATCAGCGGGAGCACCCCGCCGGCCTGGGAGGAGGAGTAGGAGCTTGCCATCTTCTTGGTTTTGATGGTTGCAAGCGAGATTGGAGAAGATAAGGCAACGGGTGGGAGGGTGTGGATTCTTCTAGTGGAAGGAGGCAGATGTATAAGTGGGGCCGGATGGACTCCGGCCGTTTACCACCTACCGTCTGAGCCGTGGCCCAAGAAAGGGCGTCCCCATCTGAGCCGCTACCTGGCGGGTGACGGGCGTTGCCTTCGACAAGAGAACATGGTGGGCCCTTTCGTGGAAAAAGGCATGGGATACCTGCCCAAATACGTTCTGATATACCTGCAGCGGTGGGGATCGCGAGAAACCTTGACGGCTATGATATCGAGTCCATCTGAGCTCGGGCTCAGAATAGGACTTTCGGTTTTTGCTGGGTTTTACTCCCTCCGTCCCATAATATAAGAATGTTTTTCAAGCTATGTTAACTTGAAAAACGTTTCTATATTATGGGACGAAGGGAGTACTTGATAGAAAACAAATAGAGCACTCACAATATCTTGCAAACGAGGGGCCCTTTTTTAGGGTTGCAAACGAGGGGCTTATGTTGGGCAAGCAGGTGTTGTTGTTTACAGTTTAGTGGGTTGGGCCAAACCTGCTTATGTTCTCCACTGTGTATTTGGGCTAGATTAGGGCTTATATGCTCCTAACCTAGGTCTTAGGCCCACCCATGTGCATGTCAGTACATAAACTTTGTGACTATTGTCTGATGAGTTGAGTTTAATAAATATATCAACTTGCAAAGTATATGAAGCATGAACAAGGCCAAAAGTTTGAACCACACAAAGGTTTTTTGATGCAACGATCATTTTTTTGAATGGTGAAATGTTTTTAGAAACTTGTGCAAACAATTTCTCACACTATATGAAAATTTAAATTTGAAATGAACACCTTTAAAAATTAAGTAAGGATTTTGGGTTTTATTTATTTATTTTTATTTCTTTGTGGAAATGGGTTATATGTATCTAGAATATCTTAAAATATAAACAAGAGTAAAATGATAAAAAAAAAGATGGACAAATGGACCAAGGAAGGAAAAAATGAACATGACGAAGAACGAAACAAAGGAAGAAAGAAAATCCAACTGGAAGCATTTCTGGTTGGTGGATCAGAAGGGTCAAACCTGTAAACACCCAAACAAACACAAAGGAAGACCGAATCCAAACAGATCCACCGAAGACCAGCACCGACTAAATCCTGCGAGATCCGACGGAGAAACATCTCCACATGCCCTCCGACAATACTAGACTCACCGTCGGGACGCTGATCTCAGTCTCGCTTAAAGCAAGACATAAGCATGGCCCCTACTAGCCGTATGGAAAAAAGATTGCCACGCTCCTTATTCGGCGTTATATTTATATGGAGACGGCGACTCATCCTGTATGTGCTGTTTGACTTCCAGGGCGCGCTCTGGGGTCAAATTTGGCGCAGCCACTCGTGCTAATCTAGCTCTAGAAAAGTTCCTAATAAGTTCCAAGGAAAAATTGTGCTAATCAATTAGACAGCACATGCATGGTAATGTCATGAGAGAGACATGCTGCATCGATTGACACGGAGAAAGAAAGAAACGTTCAAGACCAGAAGATATGTACGTACGTATGACCGACGAATCAAACGCAAAAGAAAGCTGCAGGTCGAAGCATAAAAAGCATCTATGTACGTACGTGCGTGCGTGCGTGCGTACGTGGACAGCTCTGCAAGATATGGACCTTGGACGGAGACAAAATTCACGCGACATAACATATGCTCCTTGGACCAAAAACGATTACTCTGGCTATCTAGTACTACCAGCTTGTAGCTTGGTTCTCACGTACGGCTGCTACAATGACAGATGTACATCGATCAAACGTTTTTACTTTCATAATCATTTGAAACTTTAATTTGGCGATCCTTATGGTCTGTCGTGCTGGAACGCTTCAGCAATCATGTTAGATACTACTCCCTTCGTTTTTAAATATAAGACCTTTTAGGGATTCCACCATCGACTACATACGGAGCAAAATGAATGAATCTACGTTATAAAGTATGTCTATATATATCCGTATGTAATTCATAGTGAAATTTTTAAAAGGTCTTATACTTAGAAGCTTGCGGCGACAGGGTATCCTCTCATGCGTTTTGCATGAGCAGGTGGTTATACATGCGTTCTGTCTTGATATATTTGTGTACGAAATACTAAGATTTCGTTCATGAAACCGGGAGAAAACTCTTCTATTAATAAGAAATAAATAAAGAATACCTGATGCTAGCCTAGGAGAAGGCTAGGACTCCTACATGCTTGTACAATTGTTCTTTTGACGGGAATATTTCATTGTTCTCATGCGAACTTTGGCAGGGGATATATACTTCGGAAACTCACCATTATTTTCTCCTTCGATACAATTAACAACTTCTATTACACATTACATTGTTTTCAGTCCCAGCTACGTTTTCCCTAGCTCCTTGTTTTCCATCAAATTATGAGAATCGAACTTAATTAGTTTAAGTGATCGACCTTCCTGCGAGGAGTATTGTCGCTGAATCCGATGCCCTTCCTTTTGGTGGGGAAGATGGTGAACACAAAGGCGGACAGAAACGCCATGCCCAGCGGCAGGTTCTTGAGCAGCTCCTGGGTGTTCCTATTGGCGTCCGGGAAGAAGCAGTTCTGCAGCCCCACGTCGTTAAACACCACCGTGAGGAAAACCACGGCGGCGAAGAAGGAGTGCACGAAGTCCAGGGGCCGGAGGCGGAGGCTCCGGAGCTCGCCCCCGCCCCACTCTCGGCTCTCATCCTCGCCGGGGAAGTTGAACACGTTGAAGCCACGGGGCATGGCGATGCCGTAGTAGAGCTTTCCGTCGCGGCCCACGAGGCTGTCGGTGAAGGAGAAGAAGAGGCACATGACGACAAGGACGGCGACCAGCGCCACGGTGAGCCACTGGTTGGAGGCCTCGCACTTGCCGTGGTTGGTGAAGGACGGGGATAGCGCCTGGTACGCCAGCACCGTGCCCGTCGGCAGGAGCTGTGCAAGGTTCGTGACGCTCGACATGATCCTGTCCATGGTGGGGGTTGATGTTGGCGGTGCCGTGCCGGCGGTTGTTATCTCGCCACCGTCGTCGACTTCCTTGGTCGCGGTCGGCGGAGGCATCTGGATCGCCGTAGGCGAGGGAGAAGAAGTTGCCATTGTGGTACTGTGCTCGATGTGGGTGCGCTCGAATTTGTAAGTCCCAGCTAGGAATATTACGAAAAAGGGTTTCCCCCCGCTTTATAAAGAAACAACCGAGCATACAACCAACGAAACCACAAAAAGAAAGAAGAAGAAGAAAAAAAAAAGCAACAGAGGATACAAGATGCCACCGGACAACAGCAGTCCTGACAACCCTAGAAGCTAGGACATCGAGGACCCCGGCAACTCCAGGACATGCCCACGACACGCTCACGCTAGTGGAGCGGCCCGCCGCTGGAGGAAGCGCACAGCCGTCAACTCCCATACCGTTGCCGGCCATCCGGGAGCACGCTTAATCCCGAATGGACTAGGAGAGGATGGCAACACGCTACCACGCCGGCAAAGTTACTCCGATCAACGCCACCGCCTCGGGCCACACCACGAAGAACACCGAACATTGTCGAGCAGGACCCACTGAAGAACCGGTGACCGACCATGCCAAAGCCGCGACCACCACTCACCCGTCCCAAAGGCGGCGTCTTCA